GTTCAGGAAGCTGTCTCTTGTACCAATTTGTCCAAGGGTACCACCACTTTCTCTTCTAAGTGTGGCTGGATTTATGTTGAGGTCTTTGATACATTTGGACTTAAGTTTTGTGCATGGTGATAGACATTTATCTATCCACATTCTTCTACATGCTAGCATCCAGTTATGCCAGCACCATTTGTTGAAGATGCTTTCTTTTTTCCATTGTATATTTTTAGCTTCTTTGTCAAAGATCAGATGTTCATATATGTGTGGGTTAATATCAGGGTTTTCAATTCCATTCCATTGGTCTACCTGTCTATTTTTGTGCCAATACCAAGCTGTTTTCAGGACTACAGTTCTATAATAGAGCTTGAAGTCAGGGATGGTGATGCCTCCAGTAGTTGCTCTGTTAAATAAGGTTGTTTTGGCTACCCTGGGTCTTTTGTTTTTCCATACAAAGTCGATTATTGTTCTTTCAAGGTCTGTGAAGAATTTTGCTGGTATTTTAATGGGGATTGCATTGAGTCTGTAGATTGCTTTTGGCAGGATTGCCATTTTTACTACATTGATCCTACTTATCCAAGAGCATGGGAGATCTTTCCATTTTCTGATGTCTTCTTTAATTTCTTTCTTTAAAGACTCAAAGTTTTGCGATACAGGTCTTTCACTTGTTTGGTTAGCATTACCCCAAGGTATTTTATGTTGTTTGTGGAAATTGTAAAGGGTGATGTTTCTATGATTTCTTTCTCAGCCATTTTATTGTCTGTATATAGTAGGGCTACTGATTTTCTTGAGTTGATCTTGTATCCTGCCATTTTGCTGAAAGTGTTTATCAGCTGTAGGAGTTCCCTAGTAGAGTTTTTTGGATGACTTATGTAACCTATCATATCATCTGCAAATAGTGAAAGTTTGACTTCTTCCTTTCCAATTTGTATCCCCTTGATCTCCTTTTGTTGTCTTATTGCTCTATCTAGAACTTCAAGTACAATGTTGAAAAGGTATGGAGAAAGTGGACAGCCTTGTCTTGTTCCTGATTTTAGCGGAATCACGTTGAGTTTCTGTCCATTTAGTTTGATGTTGGCTGTTGGTTTACTGTATATAGCTTTTATTATGTTTATGTATGTTCGTGTTATCCCAGATCTCTCCAAGACCTTTATCATGAAGGGGTGTTGGATTTTGTCAAAGGCTTTTTCTGCATCTAGTGAGATGATCATGTGATTTTTGCTTTTCAGCTTGTTTATATAGTGAATTACATTGATGGATTTTCATTTGTTGAACCATCCCTGCATCCCTGGGATAAAACCTACATGATCATGGTGAATGATTGTTTTGATGTGTTCTTGGATCCGATTTGCCAGTATTTTTATTGAGTATTTTTGCATCAATGTCCATGAGGGATACTGGTCTGAAGTTCTCTTTCTTAGTTGTGTCTTTATGTGGCTTGGGTATCAAGGTAATTGAAGCCTCATAGACAGAGTTTGGCAAAGACCCTTCTGTTTCTATTGCATGGAATACTTTGAGAAGAATTGATATAAGCTGTTCTTACACTGAGGCCATCTGGACCTGGACTTTTTTTGGATGGGAGACTTTTGATGACTGCTTATATTTCCACAGAGGTTATAGGTCTGTTTAAATTGCTTATCTGTTCTTTATTTAATTTTGGAAAGTAATACTTATGCAGAAAATTGTCCATTTCCTTTAAATTTTCAAAATTTTGTGGAGTACAGGTTTTCAATATATGACCTGATGATTCTCTGATTTTCATCAGAGTCCATTGTTATGCCCCCCTTTTCGTTTCTGATTTTCTTAATTTGCATGTTCACACTGCCATTTGGCAAGTTTGGACAAAGGTTTGTCTATCTTGTTGATTTTCTCAAAGAGCCAACTCTTCGTTGCATTGATTTCCTATTTTCTACTTTATTGATTTCAGCCCTCAGTTTGATTATTTCCTGGCGTCTACTCCTCCTGGGGGAGTTTGCTTCTTTGTATTCTAGGGTTTTCAGCTGTGCTGTTAATTCTCTAGTGTAACTATTCTCCAGTTTCTTCATGTGGGCACTTAGTGCTATGAACTTCCTCGTAGCACTGCTTTCAAAGTGTCCCATAGGCTTGGGTATGTTGTGTCTTCATTCTCATTGTCTTTTTTTTTTTTGGTTTTACGAGTCAGGGTTTCTCTGTATTGTTTTGGAGGCTGTCAGTCCAGCCCGGCCTCGAACTCACAGAGATCCGCCTGCCTCTGCCTCCCAAGTGCTGGGATTACAGGAAAAGCTTGGATTCAAAAGTGTTAGAATTCTAGGAAGTCTTTAATTTATTTTTTTTATTTCTCCTTTGACCCAGGAATGGTGCAATTGTGCATTATTCAATTTCCATGAGTTTATAGGGTTTCTGCAGTTTGTGTTGTTGAATTCTAATTTTAACGCATAGTGGTCTGATAAGATGCATGGAGTTATTCCAATTTTTTTTTGTACCTGTTGAGCTTTGATACGTTGCCAAGTATGTGGTCGATTTTTGAGAATGTTCCATGTGGTGCTGAGAAGGAGGTATATTCTTTTTTATTTGGATGGAATGTTCTATAGATGTCTATTAATCCCAGTTGGGTCATAACTACTATTAGCCCCTTTGCTTCTTTGTTAAGTTTCTGTCTGGTATCCCTGTCTAGTGGTGAGAGTAGGGTGTTGAATTCTCCCACTATAAATGCGTGGGACTTTATATGTGATTTGAGTTTAGTAATATTTCTTTTACGAACGTGGATGCCTTTGTGTTTGGGGCATGGATGTTCAGGATAGAAACTTCATCTTGGTGGATTTTGCCTGTGATGAGTATGTAATGACCTCCTTCATCTCTTCTGATTGATTTTATTTTAAAGTCTAATTTGTTAGATATTAGGATTGCTACCCCTGCTTGTTTCTTGGGTCCATTTGATTGGAAAATCTTTTCCCAACCTTTGACTCTGAGGTCTGTCTTTGAGGCTGAGGTGTGTTTCTTGTATGCAGCAGAAGGATGGGTTCTGTCTTCAAATCCATTCTGTTAGCCTGTGTCTTTTTATGGGTGAATTAAGGCCATTGATATTGAGGGATATTAATGACCATTGATTGCTCATTCTTCTTTGATTTGGAATGGTTGTTGGTGGTGCAATTATGTATGGAATTCCACCCCTTTTTTCTTTTGGCTGTTGATAAGGTGGGATTATCTAATGCCTATGTTTTTCTAGTTGTAGTTAACCCCCTTGGTTTGGAGTTTTCCTTCCAGAACTTTCTGTAGGGCTGGGTTAGTGGATATGCATTGCTTGAATCTAGTTTTGTCATGGAATATCTTGTTTTCTCCATCTATAGTGATTGAAACCTTTGCTGAGTATAGTAGTCTGGGCTGGCATCCATGGTCTCTTAGTGTTGATAAATATCTATCCAGGATCTTCTGGCTTTCAGAGTTTCCATGGAGAAGTTAGGTATAATTCTGATAGGTTTGCCTTTATATGGTACTTACCTTTTTCCTTAGCTGCTCTTAATATTCTTTCTTTATTCTGTATATTTGGGGTCTTGATTATTATGTGGTGAGGGACCAGGAATCTGGGGTGGGTAGGCTCCCACTGGTGGTCTGCAGGCACTGGTCCTAGTCCCCTGGTTCCCTGGTCCCATTGATGGAAAAGAAAACCAGGAATCTGGGGTGCTTGGCTCCTGCCAGGACTGGAGGCTCTGTGGCAGTCCTCAGGCAGTCCCCAGGCACTGGAAGGCAGGCCCGGATAAAGGGCCTGTTTTACCTGGTCCCCTTGGTGGAGAAGAAAACCAGGAATCTGGGGTGCATGGCTCTGGCCGGGAGGGGAGGCTTTGTGGCTCCCTAGGCAGTCCCCAGGCACTGGATACAGGGCCTGGTTTACCTGGTCCTGGTCCCCTGGTCCCGTTGGTGGAAAAGGTGTTTTGGTATTTTCTAACTGCTGCATTCTATTGTCTCCTTTTCCTGGTCTCTTGAGATCATTATTTCACTTGGTTCTTCCATGGAATTGATTTTTGTAGTTTCTACAAACGAGTGAAAACTTGTAGCCTTTGTCTTTCTGTATCTGGTTTGTTTCTCTTACATAATGATTTCCAGTTCTGTTCACATTGCTAATAACAAAAATTAATTACTTTAATGGGTAAATAATATGCCATTGTGTGTATATTACTACATTTTCCTTTTCCATTTATCTATGATGGTATCTTGACTTTATATTGGCTAGTAGTACAGATTTTTGTGTTTGTGATGTGTGTATATGTTTCTGAGATGTGTTCATGTATATGCAGGTGCCTGTGTGTGTAGAGAACTGAGCTCAGCATCAGATTTCTTCCTTTATCACCCTCTACCTTATTTGTTTCAGACAGGGCCTCTCACTAAACCTATACCTCTCTACTTGGTAGGACTGTGTATGCAGTGAGTTTCTGGGAAACACCTGCCTTTACCATTTGCACCCCCCCCCAACACACTCACACAAGTACTGGCCTCACAGCTGCACACCACCGTGCCCAGCTTTTGCATGAGTGTTGGGATCTGAACTCACAACCTCATGCTTATGCAGCAGGCACTTTGCTGATGGAGCCATCCCTCTGTCACCTACAGTTTCTTTATAGTTCTCTTTTTTCTGTCTAATAAAGCTCCATGTAACAATAACAAGTACATAACTTTTTACTTAAATTATAATCCTTTCTCTCTTTTTGAGTCAGTGTTTCTTATATTCTAGGTTGGTCTCTTTCTTACTCACAATATAGCTAAGAATGGCCTTGAGCACCCAGTTCTTAAGCAGTGCTAGGTATCAAACCTGGAGTTTCTTACATGCCAGACAGACATTCTACAAACTGTACACCATAAAACCGAGGATCAGGGGAATATGTATTTCCTTATGGGAATTGAGGCACAACATACTTTTAAGGGGACATGTATTACTGATTTGGAAAACGAAAACAGTTGTCTTAAGAGAAATATAACTTTAAATTTCAGTGTTTTATGCTGCTGTCTTTAAGTAATAGTAGTATAATTTAAATTTTGTTTAGGCTTCGGGAGCAAGAAAGAAAAGAAGCAGAAGAAGCTTGCCAGAAGGAAGTAGAAGAGTGGGAAAGGAAACTTCTTGCTCAAGCAGCTCCAGCCTGTATGGAGAACATGTGGGAAATTCCAGCCATTGGGCATTTTCTTTGTTTAGCCCAGCAGATTCTAAACTTGCCAGAAATTGTCTTTTATGAACTGGAACGCTGTCTTCTGATGCCTCAGTGTAATGCCTTTCTGTCTAAAATAATGACGTCTTTGCTAAGTCCTCCCCACCGCAGGCCGACCTTACATCGAAGACCTACTTTGCCTTACAGGACGTGGGAAGCAGTGCTGAGGCAGAAAGTACAGCAGTGGTACACGGCTGTAGGGCAGACTGAGAACCCTGATAACTGCGCTGAGAAACTTGGCTTGTGCCCTCAGTTTTTTAAGGTTCTTGGAGAAGTTAATCCATTGGAAGAAAAACCTTTTCACGAGCTACCTTTCTATCAAAAGGTGTGGTTACTTAAAGGGCTCTGTGACTTTGTGTATGAAACACAGAAAGAAGTTCAGGATGCTGTGCTTGGGCAGCCCATTCATGAGTGTAGGGAAGTCATCCTTGGCTATGACTATCTGGAGAATGCTTATGTGCACTTTCCACAGTTCTGTGGTGCGGATGTACGGATTTATAAACAAAGACCCTTTCAGGCCCCAGAATTTCCAGTTCCACCCATTAAAGTAAAAAGAGTACCTCGAATTAAACTGGAGAAATTCAAGTGTGACTATGTAAGTACAAGTAATGGAGATCACAGATGTAATAGAGAAAGTCTGCCCTCTGTCTTCAAGAAAGAGCAAGAAATTGATTTTGGTCCAGCCCACTGTCCTGCTAAAATGAACTTTGGTAATCATGACATCTCTGTGGAAATGGAAGTAAAATCCAACTGTGACATTAAAATAAACAGGTCCTGTGAAATTGAAAAAACTGATTGTTGTAAAGAAAATTTGGAGAAGCCCGGAAGTCCAGGAGAAGTTACGGGCTTTGGAGAGCCACTCAGTCCAGGTGAAATAAGGTTTATAGAAAATCAGGAAAAACATGGTGAAGCTTCCAGAGTAAAGACAGAACCCAGTCCACTAAAAGAAAATGCTCTGAAATCTTGCCAAATTCATGTAAATGGTAGTCACATCGATCATCAAGACATTAACTGCCACAAAGTTGTGAGAGATCTTTTGTTAGAGCACTCCTTGCAAAGCCACAAAAAACTAAAACTAACTAAAATGAGGGCAAAAAAGAAGAAAAAGAAAAAGAAGAAATTGAAAGATGTTTTGAATGAAAATTTACAAAGAAAGCGTGAAGGTCTTCATTCTCTTGCTTTCAAATCTTACAAACCTGAGATCCAAAATAAGTTATTGATCATTAAGAAGAAAGGAAAACACAAAAAGCACAAATCTGGTAAGCTGACCTAATGGGCAAGACTTATATTTAAGTGTGATTCCATTTTTCTTCAATTATGCATCTTGGAAGTGCTGATTGATAGAATGAAATGTGTGTGTGTGTGTTTATGTGTATGTAGGGGGTCAAGTTTTATTTCACATGATTAAAAACCTGGGCCAGGAAAAATTTTTTATATACTAACAAAGAACTGGTATAATATATTTGAATGAATCACAATTTGACATGTTTATATTTATATTTATTTATTTTTGATTTTTCAAGACTGGGTTTCTCTGTATAGCTTTGTAGACCAGGCTGGCCTTGAACTCAGAGATTTGCCTGCCTCTGCCTCCCAAGTGTTGGGATCAAAGGTATGTGCCACCACCGCCTGACTATTTTTGGATATTATATTTTTATATTTTTCCTGTAAATGATGTATGTCCATCACTTTGATTAAGCGATTTGTTTTTCTTCCTAAGCTAAGAACAGCGCAAGTATAGCAGCTCATTTCTTTATCTAGAGTAATCATGTTATTTACTGAGTCTGAACTTAGTACCTTGTTTTCAATATATTTTTCAATATATAGTGTTCTGTCTACATGCCAGAAGAGGGTGCCAGATTGAATTGTAGTTGGCTGTGAGCCACCATGTGGTTGCTAGGAATTGAACTCAGGACTTCTGAAAGAGCAGTCAGTGAGTGCTCTTAACCTCTGAGCCATCTCTCCAGTCCCTCAATATGGATTTTCATATGTAGAAAAAAAATTGAATCTAGGAATTACGTCAATTAATAAAACACCAAGATTAAAGCATATACTTGTAAAAGGATTAGTAAACCAGGCTGTGGTGGCCCACGCCCTTAATCCCACCCAGCACTAGGAAGGCAGAGAGAGGCAGGCAGATCTCTGATTTCTAGGCAATCTTGATCTATAAAGCAAGTTCCAAGAAGATCAGAGCTGATACACAGAGAAACACTGTCTCAGAAAGAAGGTAAAGAAATAAAAAATAAATTAGTAAAAAAACCACAGGAATTTCTAAGTCTGTCTTTTGCCCAATTTAAATACCCTATATATTTGCCAGCAGTCTATTTGAACAACAGAAGTTCTTTTCTAGTTGATTACTCTTTTTTGTTTTTTTCTTTTTTAAAGGATTTTGTTGCTTTTGTGTTTCCTATGATCTGTCTTAATCAGTTTATATCTCATTTACCACAGGATAGGTGAGACAAAAACATATGGTCAGTTGTATAATATTTACAAAAAAAATTTCTTGATCGAAGACAAAAAATAAGAATTGCTTCCCAAAATGAGTATTGGCTCCAGTCATCATTGTGGGTTTCATTTTCATTCTTTCCCACAGCAGTGTAGTTAATTAAACTGGTAGAAATTTGCTACTGAGGTGACAAATGAAGGAGTGAGGTTTTAGTTACTTAAATCATTACATAGAACTCAGTATGTTCTAAAAATGTATGTAATGAGCCATGATAAAGTATAGGCCCAGAGAGATGATTGAACAGGTAAAAGCTCTTGCCACCAAACTTGATGACCTCATTTATAACAGACACTGGGAGCCAGGGGTTAGGTACACACTTAATATGTTTTTAAAGTAGTAGTGTAATGTTTACTACCAAAACCAGGCCTAGCTTGTTTGACTAAAACTTTTAAAGTGGTCCATATTGACCTAACTTTTTAAAGTAACTTTCAGAAATAAGCCTTTGGAATGAAAACTTAACAAAGACCATGTGAAGGTCTTCATTCTCTTGCTTTTGTGTCTTACAAGTCTGAGATGTAATGGTATTGCATCCAATGTTATAAGGATAAATATTAGTTGTACATCATTTCAGACCACTTTTTTTGTAAATTTACTACGTTTTGAGGCAGCATGGCCTTTTTTTGGTTGAGTTTCCATCATGTTTGAGTCCAGTGCCTCCTTTTTTATACTTTTTTGAAAGTGAGTTCCATGATCATAGTTTTCACAAGGTTTCCCTTACTGTGTCTTAGTATAGGCTCATGGTGCATTCTGGGAAACTCCTACCACATTTGTTTTGAAGTTTAGAAATCTTGAGATTTTAAAGGGGTATTAGATATATCTAGTTTTTATTAAATAACATCCCTAGTAGGACTTATAAGTGGTTAGAGCAGATGAAATGAAAAAAAATTTTTAATCTTAAAATAGTTCAGGGCTGAATTTGTTAAGCATATACATTAATTTAAAACTTTAGTTTTCAGAGCCTTTTTAGACTTAAAATTTTAGGTAAATGATTTGGGACTTATATATTAAGAATTCTGGAAGACGTCAAAGGAAAGAAAACTTTGTTTTGATAATTATAGTATTCTCTTCAAGTTTATTTTAACACTTACGTTTCCCAAGTAATGGTTAGCTTGTGTGCCTTATAGAACTGCTTTGGGTTAAGCTGTGTCATCCATGACTGGTTTATCAACTTAGACTTAGAGTGATCTAAATTTTACATGTAATTTGGTTATCTATCTGGTCCACAATATGTTGTAGACTATACGCTTTAAGTTTTTAGGTATTTATAAGTTTTAGTTAAACTTATAGTTGTGATGGGAGATGATTTTTTTTAAATAGAAGGTACAAAGGCAAATCAATTTGAATGATATAATAATTTAAGTACACTGTGATCCACTTTTGTAATTTTTAAGCATTTTATCTGCTTTTCAGACTTGGGTTTTTACTTTTGTCATTTAAGGTGAGCAAGTGAGATTAACTGAGAATAGGCTAGAAATAATTCTTTGTTATATTATTTTTGAGAATTTAATATTATGTATAAAATATGTGCATCATTTCCACTCTTCACTTTCTCAGCCACAGCTCTTGTTATGTCTACCCTATCCCTTTCAACCTCACAACCTATTCTTTAATTATTGTTTAATTATATTTTATTAATTATTATTTATATTAATTAATTATTTAATATTGTTTGTACACACACACACACACACACAAAAAACACAACCTGCTAAGTCCATTAAGTATCTTCCAAGGCCCCACTACTAGCCTAACCTCCACCCCTACTGATAGATTATCCAGTCATAAATAGTCAATTGTAAACATGTATACAAATAAGCTATACTATAACTTTTTCAGAGGAAAAAGTTTTTAAAAATTGCATTTTCTCTTTACATGTACTGTCGCTATTGGTGGAAAAGCAAAAACAGTGCATTTTCTTTCTGCTCTTAAGCAAAAAAATTTTTTTGAAGTCCTTTCCTTATTGCCTTATTCTTTTATCACTTAAACTTCCTATCATTTTTCTAAGTAAGTTTTTCTATTTTGTATGTAATTAGAGCATCAGACACTTCTTTATAGTACTTAACTAATAATTGCATTTATTTCTGGTATAGGTTGACTAGTGTCTCCCTTCTAGCATTCTTGAGAACTGAAGGATTATTTCTGGTTTTGTATCCCTAGCACTTAGTGTCATGTTTAAAAATCTGTTAAATATATATATTAACAGAAACTATATATAGTATGGTTTTTCCAGATATATATAAGATTAGCCTCTTCCTATGTATCTTCTCCCCCCCCCCCCCCCCGGTTTTTCAAGAAAGGGTTTCCCTGTGAAACAGTCCTGGAACTCACTCTGTAGACCATGCTGGCCTCAAACTCACAATTCACCTGCCTCTGCCTCCCAAGTGTTGGGATTAAAGGCATGCACCATCACCACCTGGCTTTACTGTATATGTTTAATATCATTTTAAGACAGCAGGCATTCTTTTCAACCAGATTATTTTGTGATACTTTTAAATTAATCTAAATAGGTAAGACAAGCAGTCTCATTTTCTTATAGGTTAAGAAACTTTGATCAGCAAGATAGCCCGATTGAGTAAAGGAAGACTCTTGCTGCCAAGCCTGATAATCTGAGGTCATTCCAGGGACCCATAGGATAGAAAGAAAGAACTAACTCTTCCAAGTTGTCCTGTGTGTGTGTGTGTGTGTGTGTGTGTGTGTGTGTGTGTGTGTGTGTGTGTGTAATTAAATTTTTTGCATTTGAAACAGAGTCTTACTGTGTAGCTCTGGCTAGCCTGGAATTCTATATAGATCAGGCACGCCTTGAAATTGAAGAGATCCACCTGCTTCTGCCTACCAAGTACTAGAATTAAAGGCATGTTTGGCTAATTAAAAAAAAGAAAGAGAAAACTAAGTTCAAAACTGGTAAATATAGGTCCGTGGAGGTGGCTCAGCTATTAAGAATGTTTGCTGCTTTTGCAAAGGACCTGAGTTCAGTTCCTAGCACCCACAAGGAAGCTCAGCCATCTGCATGCAACTCTACTTCCAGGGCATCTGACACTCTACTGGCCTCTGCTGGCTCCAGGCACACATGTGGTGCACATACATACATGCAGACAAACACTTATAAGACTATATAAATCTTTAAAAAAACTAATAAATAGCCTTATCAATTTAATAATCAAAACCATACAATAAAAAGAGGAAGCAAACAGGAAATTTCACAAAGAATGGGAAGATTTCAGAAAGAATGGAGGACTTTGAAGAATAAGTAGGCTTGAATAGATAAAAAATTATTAATATCAGTAAGGCATACTTATGAATAATCAAGTTGTTAAAAAATAGCACAATAAAGTTTGAAGTATAAGTGGAGGTGTTAGAGTCTATTTCAAAACATGCCATGTGATACTAGTTTAAATGATGGAATCAAGATCCCAAGAGCAAATGAATGAGCTTTATATGAGATGTGTCAGATATAGAAAAAGCTGTTTATAGAAAATAACACAAATAATGTAATACAAAATATTTGTGATAGCACCTAGAACCTAATTATATGTATCTTTGTGGAAAATATTTTTAGAGTACCAACTAGAGACTGCAAGATTATGTGAGAATGAAGGAATTCGCTGTACATCTTGTCAGTTATTTTTATATTATTTTACAGTGCTAGGAATGAAGTCCAGGATTTATACATGCCAGGCATATGTTCAACCACTAAGTTACACCTCTACCCCATGTCTGTTTTTTTAGTCCCTTCTGTTTTTTCCTCAGGAGAAT